TATTTGTATTATTATTAGAACAAATAATGCATATATATATATATATATTAAATAAAATATAAATAAATAAATAAATAAATAAATAAATAAATAAGTAAATAAATAAATAATAGGGCTTTTTTTAAAAAAAATAAACATACTCTCTATAATGATCCTGATTAGCACCATAATAAGTTCTTAACGTATCATATTGGAGACAAAGTTCAGAATATGAGTTAAACACATTATCAATTTCCAATTTTTGTACTGAATTTACTGCTTCTGCTATTTTTCCAGGATGAAATCCATTCCAGACCGGGAAATTAGTACTATCAGCTACATAATCTTTCGAAGTTAAAATAGTAGTATTCATTTTTGTATTAATAGATATTTGTTTGTAAATGAGTTAAAATGAGTTGAAAAAAGAAGATTAAGAGTTTGTTAAATCCTTTTTTTTTTACGCGAGAAATTTTTATTTTATATATTAACGAGTTTTTTTAAAAAAAAGGGGTATTTCAAAATATAAAAATTAGTGAGCACATGTTATATATACATCAAAAATTTTTTTTTTTAAATTGATGGCTCACTTGTTAATTAATATTACTATTACTATTATTGAGATTTTCATTTACGCTTCCGAATTCGCAGAAAAACATACCAATACTCGAAAATTATTATTTTTGTTCCTTTTTTTATTCTCCTCATAAATCATTTATTTTTCATGAGTTTGAGAATTAACAGTATTTAAATCATTCAAAGACAATGGATTTGATGATGGTGTTTTTAGACTTAGAGCAGGACTACTACACACAAATATAACAATCATGATTGTCTTAATATATTAATTTCTGATTGCATAATTTTTTGATAGAAAATGAAAAACAATTTTTATTTATTTATTTATTACATTGATAATTAATTGAAAACAAATTTTCTAATGATTTTTTTTACATACTTTTTTTTTACAAGGTATTTTTTTATTACATCAATTCTTTCAAGCCATTTTGGTTCAAGAGATTTAACCTTTTGTGCTCATCAATAACATGTCTATCTACTTTATGCAATCAAAATCAAAAGATAATATATCCAGAGAATCCCACAAAGATGCCTACTCATCGCCACATAGATCTGTCCTGTGGCGAACATATTTTCATCAATGGATACAGTTCAGTGTGGCAGTATAAGGCCATATGTCTTGTGAACAGCGAGTGCAAATGCATTCTGAATTGGGAATTGCTTCCTGGATGCTGGTATTCCATTGATAGTGAAGTATGTGATTTCTCTTTGAACATTTATCTTTACAATATTGTTAGCTGTGGGGAAAGCAACCTCAACATTATCATTATCAATTACCTTGGTGATTACTCCTATTGTTCCATTACATATTCCATGTTCAAACAATTTATTATTTAGGAACATTATGCGAGCACCTCCAACAAACATCATAAAAGAATCCTTCTGTATATCTTGGATCATGATGTCTTTGTTGGAATTAAAGGCCCTGAATGCAAAGTTCAAAAAATCATCATTGTCAAGCCTTGAAGTTGCCACATCATTCAAAACATTAGATCCACTTGCAGACTTTACAAATGCAATTGTAGATAAGATGGAAGACTTAATTATTTATGAGTTTTATTTTTATTTTTTTTAGATGTGATTTAAATTGTTTTGTGAGTATCAAATATTTTCTTTGCTAATTTGCTTAACCTTTTTATATAACCCTTCTTCACTAGCCAAATCATAAAAATCAGTAATTCAATGAATGACAATAAATGCGTCTGCATGTGAAAAAAAAAGAATTGCAGGACTAGGGTTTCTATTCATAATACAAATTCTTATTTGAATTATTCGTAATACAGTTGACCTTTAATTTGAATTAATTATTCAAATTAAAAAAATTTATTCAAATTAAAAAAATTCATTCGAATTAAAAAGTTTATTCAAATTAAAAAGTTTTATACGAATTAAAAAGTTTATTCAAATTAAAAATTTAATTTGAATTAATATTAATATTAAAAAGTTTATTCAAATTAAAAATTTAATTCGCTTTATTCAAATTATTTATTTTATTTGTTTTATTCATTATCAGAATCTTGGGTTTGTTCATTCATTTATTAGATTATTTGGAATAATAGGTTGTTCAATTACTTAAATATTGTAAAATAGTAAATTATAAATCACGGGAAACGAACATATAAATCGGAAATGATTTACATGTGTTACGAAGTGAAAATTTGGAAGCGATTATCACGGAATAACTCAACAAGAAATAAACCGGTACAATTTAATAAATGTTACACTAATTAATAAGGCGCACCAATCAAATAAATAGCTCTTGGAAAATAACCCAAATATTGGAGATATAAATATTCCAACATTCTAAAGTGTAACAGATTACAAAGTCTCAGAATAAT